AGCTCAGCTGTTGAGGTAGCATAATTTGTATCAGTAAACAAATCATGTAAATTTCCCTCTTGACTCAGAGTGTAAAAATATATGTTGATGCGGTTATAAGGAAGCACCATGAGTATTAAATAAAAGCTTCCTAACAGTAACAGCAGTTAGACTGTCATACATTAGGGAATCTTTGAATTCAAGCAAATTTTTAATGGCTTAAATTTCTTTTCAATTTTTTAGATCTTATGATTCTATTCACTTCACTGATGCATTAAAATATTCTACCATCAGACAGGATGGGAGACAAGATGGCCTAATAATGCTGGAGATGGTTCCTGCTCTAGCAGTTCGAGTCCTAGCACTGCTTGACAGGGTGAGCTCCTGTCACTCAGCTAAGCTTCTGTCAACTTAACAGTTCAAAAGTATGTTCTATGTGAGTAGATAAATAGGTATTATTTCAGTGGGGAGACAAGTTGGCACTCTATGCAGGCAGTCAGATTCCTGCCGGCTTCTGAACCCTCCAATTTGTTGCTCTGGGAAAGAAAGGGGGCCTAGGATGATGGTGCAAGAAGAGCCACTTGTTTTTCTTTCTGGTGCAAAGCCACCTTGCCCTCCTGTGGTGCATCTTGGGAAGCACACAAGGGTGTCCTACAACACAGCTGGTTAATTGGCAGCCAAACTATTAGCATTGTGGCCACCTGGATAGACAGAACACCAAAAATCTATCATGGAAAATTGAATCACTGAAATGATTTATTAAACTAGTATTCACCTAGTTTTAAAACATATTGTCAGTTTTTAGCCAGTCTCTATTCATTATTTTTCAATATTAGTGTTGGTGTACATACTCTGAATGACCTCCGGAGCATCCTCATACAGAGACTAAGCTTTCTTATGTAGAGTATATTAAAACTGAATTTTTCTGATCTGAATTCCAAAAGAGTAGCTGTATTAACTTGAATTATTTTTCTTTTTATTGAATGAGAGATTGAGTTGAAAATGTTTCCTGCAATGTGATTCTGACCTTCAAAAACTACATTTATTTATTGAATAGATTTCATTACATAAGAAATCAGTCTTTGAATGGAACAACCTAAAAAGCTTTCTCCTAGTATTTTCATTTGCTCAGATGGAGTCAAATTAAACCATTATCAGGCCTGTTCAATATAGAATAAACTTTCTAGCACTAGGGCCATTAAGAATCACTATCAACATTAGCTGAAATTTGAATGCTGGACATATATTTAAACATTAATAAAACTGGACATTCTAGTAGCATTGTTGTTTTATACAGATCATAAAATATACACAAGCATATACATTTATAAATAATATTTTATAAGTCCTTAGTTGCTGGTAATTTCCTATATTAACTGTCTCTGAAATATTAAATAAACATAATGTAATTTGTTCATTTAAAGAGTTTGAAAGGAGGGTTGTCATAAATCCTTATTGTAGGATTCTGACAAACAAATTATTGATGACAACAAACTGATGACAACAAATGATCATATAGAACTTTGTGGAATCCCAGGAGATATTGCAGACTACACAGAGAGCTTTCTGATATTTATGCAGGAAAAAAATGCTCAGGCTCAGGTGAATATAAACTGTCAAGTATTTTTTTCCTTAAACCTGATACTGTTATTACAAATAGGTTATGATAAACTGCTTGAGGATAATATCTATGATGATTGGATACACTGTGCTCTGGTACAGATTTACCATTTGCATATTCATTTTTCTGCTCTGAATAAATTATCTCAGAAATATTGCTAAGCCCTGACCATCGCGGATTTTGAAAATTTGCATATGATTGAGGATAGTAAGGAAATTATATGTGACCAAAACAAATACAAGCATAACTCAGGTGAAGACTGTATAAAATTTATTCACACCCTCTTACCGAACCTTTTTTCACTTGATTTATTTTAAAAACCATATTTTTATTTTATTAGAAACTGATAGCAATTAAGGAGTAGATTTGCATACAAAATATTTGTGATTAGTGCAAGGCATGTACTTTTATTTTTGAGATAGCAATAATAAGTTGTCTAAATCAGATGAAAAAAGTTGCAAATTTAGTCCACGTAAGGAAATATCAATGGCGTGAGATTTAGAAAAGCTGGCAGAGGTCTATCTGTATTCAAGAAATCAGTAACTAAATATATTACATTCTTAGACATTTAAGTCCAAATTCTTTGACAGTGTTTCCAAATATGCATAGCAAAGTGAAGATACTCATTTATAAATTAAGGATTATATGACAGAAATAATATCTCAATGAACTTGCAAAATATTTTATCACATTGGAATAATATCACATTTACTACATAAGGATGTAATGCTTAAATGTATTTTTAACACCAGAAAAAAGCCAAATCATTAAGCAAGAAAATGGTAAGAGAACACCTGTCTGATCTTGATAAATATAAATCACCAGGACCTGATGGATTACATTCCAGAGTACTGAAGGAGTTGGCAGATATTATCTCAGAACCATTGTACCATATCTTTAAAAAATCCTGAGCACCGGGGAACTACCGGAGGATTGGAAAAGAGCTGATGTGATTTCCATCTTTAAAAAAGGAAAAAAGAACAGACCCAGGAAACTACAGACTAATCAACCTAATATCAATACCTGGGAAGATACTGGAAAAAATAATCAAAAACCAGATCTGTGAACATCTAGAAACAAATAAAGTTATAACTAAAAGTCAGCACAAGTTTGTTAAAAACAGATCATGCCAAACCAATCTTATTTCATTCTTTGACAAAGTGACTAAATTAGTAGATCAGCGAAATGGTGTGGACATAGTATACTTAGACTTCAGTAAGGCATTTGACAAATTAGAACACAATCTACTTCTTGGTAAACTACAAAAATGTGGGATAGACAGCATTACCACAAGATGGATTATAACTGGCTAACAAACCATACTCAATGAGTAGTCCTTAATGGTACTACATCTACATGGAGGGAAGTAAGCAGTGGGGTACCTCAAAGTTCCCTCTTAAGCCCAGTACTCTTCAATATCTTCATAAATGACTTAGACAAGGGAATAGGAGAGGAACTAATCAAATTTGCAGATGACAGTAAGCTGGCAGGAATCGCCAACACCCTAGAAGACAAAGGTCAGGATCCAAAAAGATCTTGACAGACTTGAACAATGGGCCCTATCCAACAACATGAAATTTAATGTGGAGAAAAGCAAGGTTTTACACCTAGGCAGGAAAAACCAAAGATACAAATATACATTAGCTAAAATCTGGCTCAAAAACAGTAAGTGTGAGAGGGATCTTGGAGTGCTAGTGGACGATCACTTAAACATGAGGTAGCAGAGTGTGGCAGCTGCCTAAAAAGCTAATACAATCTTTGGTTGTAAAAACAGAGGCATAGTATCAAAATCATCTGAAGTATTAGTAATATGAAGTATTTATAAATATGAATACTTAGTAAGACCACATTTGGAATATTCCATGCAGTTTTGGTCACCACATTCCAAAAAGATGTTGAGACTTTGGAAAAAGTTGCAAAGAGCAACTAAGATGATTAAAGGCCTGGAGACAAAAACATATGAAGAACAGTTGCAGGATTTGGCCGTAGCTTATCTAGAGAAAAGAACGACTAGGGGTGACATGATAGCAGTATTCCAGTATTTGAAGGGCTGCCACAAAAAAGAGGGGATCAACTTATTTTCCAAAGCACCAGAAGGCGACACAAGAAAAAATGGATGGAAACTAATTAAGGGGAGAAGCAATATGGAATTAAGGAGAAACTTCCTAACAGTGAGAACAATTGACCAGTGGAACTACTTGCCTTCAGAAGTTGTAGGTGTTTCATCACTGGAGGTTTTTAAGAAAAGACTGCACAACTACCTGTCTGAAATCATATAGGGTCTCCTGCTTGAGCAGGGAGTTGGACTAGATCTCTAAGGTCCCTTCCAGCTATATTCTGATTGTTTACTATAGCTTAAATAAATTATAAAATGGAATATAATTAAGTTGTGATTTTGCCATAGAATCATATTAAATTCTATGTAATTTACAGATAATTTCCCATTGTTTACCTTTCTAATCAATATTCAGCTAAATCTACCCTTAAATTGAAGTGGTATCAGTTGTACAAATATACCAATAGCCCATTATTTTTCTAAAGGCATACCTGTACAGCAGAACAACTAATAATAGTGTAG